CCACGGAGGAAGACTATGCCCAAGCCTAAGCAAGAACCAACAGTGGCCCAACATCTGCTCTAACTGCTGCCCAGGGAAACCTGGACAAATCATGATTAAGTTTGTAGGAGAGGTTGTGGCCAAGAAAACTAGCACAAGAAGAACAGGAGCGGTAGTTCCAACCGCCATATAGCCACCGCTAATAGGCCCAAGAGAAAAATAGATCTTTAGGCCATGAATTCAACCCTGAGTACCCCCATAATTAGAAGGCTAGACTCATTAGTTCACTAGGCTGCACAAATTCACTAAACTTCTGTAAACACTCTACTCGAGTGAGAGCATAGCATTCATAGGAGAGAGTGCAGTTAGGGATATATGCTTTTATCATCAATGCAAGTACCCTCCTTATCTTCTATGTATAACTAATTCTAACGGATTGTATGAGGATGTGAACTCATTTATCTTTGTATGCATTCATGCTATGATTTCATATGATACTTGTGTTTATGCTTATGAAATTTGATGCTTGTTATGTATGCATGGATGCTTGATTTTGATGCCTATGTGATGATCATTGTTGTTTGTATAGAATGAATGATTTCTTATCAATGATCCTTATGACTCTATAGTATGCTACTTTATGCATTATGCTTAGTATCATCTGAGTTTCTAAGAAATCATCCTTTAGTGATACCCCATCGACACACGAGTATAGAAGGATTAATCAACCATCTATACCTCAAGTAGTATCAATGCAATATTTTTAGATCATCGATGCTATTAGACCATAGATTATGGCTAATAGAGGCCCACACTTAATTATGTGCTATCCTAACTTCCTTGTTCTTCATTAATTAGGTAATGACATGAAGTGAAAGCACTCATTAGCTAGTTAAATCTCTATCACAAGATGCCCATGCACGAGTAAAGAGTGGTCTTAGTGGAAGGGATAAAGTGATTCTATAGATGATTCATTGATGCATGATATGATTGAGCTTTAGCATTCATGATGTTTCTCGATATTTAGCTTCTTATACAATAACATATCTTTACTTTTATGCATATATAAATTGAAAAACCCCTAAACTTTACTTTTCCTTCCTTTTCTTTGATTGTTGATTGACTAAAAACCCTAAAGATGCTTGTCTATTTAGTGTAGCATAGATGGTATCGTGTGAGTAGTTATGCATTGGAAGATCTTGTGGATACGATCCTACGACATCCCAGGTTTATAACTAGATTACTGTGATAACTCTTTCTTCTCTTCTCCTTTTCTTCCTTTGCAAGATAACTGCTTCTCTCTCTAACCTCTATCTATGGTTTAGAAAATCCAAAGTATGTTGCAAAGAGGAGGCATTCCTCTATTTTATACTGAATCATTGACACAGAGAAGAAGGAGGCTAAGTAATGCAAGATCGTGGTTGCAATCTTCTTCTTAGTTGAGATTGATATCGATGAAAAGAAGAACCAATAGACCACCTAGCTTGTCATAGGAGAAACCGAGAGGGCATGCAATTCATTCAAGTCTTCCAACTCCAACGGTAATAACGCGCATCAATGGTAGGGGGAGGTTTCTCGAGCATTAGGGCAAGAATAAAAGAAGTTGTAGAACCAGGTAGAGATAAGGCACGAAACTATGACCAAGTCGCACTAGTATGTCAAACCAAACTTTATCACCCAATGGTCGAGATCAAGTAAATAATTATTTAAGCCTATTAGCAAGATTGGTTGGGAGAAGCAAAATACATTGTAACACAGACCAAATGAGTAGTCTCATCCTCAAGATGACTATGGTTCCCAGCAGCCGTAGCCACCTTGACGACTGTTGAACCCTGAGCGAGACTCTTGAGTGACAAGGAGGATGTGTGAGGAAGTATTGAAGGAGATACAACCAAACCCCTTGATAACTTCAACATTGTGGGCCTCTATTGCAATCCATTCGTCTTGCCATAATCGTACCACTCTCCCTCTCTCTTGTCGTCAAGTAGTGGGCCTCACATGCTCATATCTTTGCTCAAACATCCACACTGCTAAAGTCACACCAAAGAAAACACTCCGGTCCCAAAGAAGAAATCTATTTCGAATGGCAATCTACTATTCCCTAGCCTCACTGGCACTACAATCTTGTTTATTTGCTTCCACTGCCTAATTCTCTCCATTTTTGCAAATTGGCTCAGTATTGCATATAGAGTCTCCCTAGGAATACATCAATACCTCCTCTCCCAAACATTATATTGAAGAAAGAAGAATCGATGAAGTACCATCATCGAGACAACCCTGCACCCGACTGGATAAAAAATGTTCTCGAAAGATGCGGTAAGATGACAGGAAATAAGAACTTGGAGGATAAATTATTACCAAAAGACGTAAATTTGATCGGTTGACGTCCAGGAAAAAAAAGTTTAGGAAGAATCCAAAATATCAAAGAAGAGTTTGCGAAAAAAAGTTTCAAGTGGTGTAGATCTTTTGAAGGTTGAGAAGATAACTCTTTTTCACTAGACAAAGATAGTTTGGTCAAAAGGGGAGACAAAGACCTCCCATTTTTAGGCAGGGAGGAGGAGAGATAGTGTCTCAATTCCAACTACAGATCTGGCTTGCCCTCAATATGAAAATCAAGGGTTTATTCGGGCGATGACCTTGAGAAATTTGTGACAAACAACCCTCTCATCGAGTCATGGATAATAAATTGCCTAGTCATAACAATCATATTTTACATGAAGGATTCAAAGATCAACCTTCCTCATGAGGGTGGTCCCCACATATAAGATGATAATGGCCTCTGTACTTTTTGTCAAGGATGTGGGAATCTCGAGGGACATGCAGATGACACGCTAGAAACCCTAAAGCTTCCCACTTTCTAATAAATATATGCCTCATCCCTCATTAAATAACATATTATACCCCCTATCATCTATATTCATTCTCTCTCATCCTTTTATAGGTTTTCTCTCACCGACTTGATCATAGTTGAGAGAATGAGGGGTACCTAGCCTAGACTTTTGCACTGCTTTGCATGTCAAAAGACCAGAAGCCGATGAAAGGCAATCTAAATACCAACTCATATGAATTTTCTTGTTAGCAATGCCTTGAACCCAAATTCTATTGTTTTTGTTGTCTCATTAAGATCGACCTAAAAGATCTCGCCCGAAGTATCAATATTATTTTGCTCCCATACTACACAAGCATAAATAATGTACTTCTCCTAATGTAACTTTAGTCAATGAGCATTATTGAAGCTTTTTGCTTGATGCATCAATGAACATGATTGGAAATATAACTTGACATGTCAAGGAGAAAATACATGAAGAATAAGAGCCTATCTCAAAGTCAAATTTCATCTTAATTTTTCACTCCCTCTTTAATTTTAATTTTAACTTAATCTTTAACTTGTTTCTAAGCATCTTGTACTTTTTTGGAATATGGTCAATGACTCGTGTGTTTGTTTCCTTTTTCCCTCAAATTTAAGTTTAGGTAAAAAAAAAATACATACTTTATACATATTTCTCATTATTGAGTACCACTATGCACTCTAAAACTCGCCAATTATTTAAATATAAAATCTATAGTCCTAATAAGGAGAATGATCGAAATAGAATGTAAAAGGAGCTACTTTTGATCCCTGACTACATAAAACTTGATAAATCATGGGTGATTTCAACGCATTGGTGGATGTACAGAAGTCCTCAAATTCGTCCAATATAACATAGAGCATGCAAGATTTCATAAGATCAATATATGAGATGAAGTTAATTAATCATAGAGTAGTTGGATCATAGTTTACCTTGTGGAATAAATAGAGGGAGAATTCGATAGCAAAAAGGCTAGACAGGATAATGGTAAATGAGGTATGGTTGAATAAATTCCCAAAGTGCATACTTCCCCTCGCAGAGTTTCTGGCCATTGTGGGTTATTCCTTCAAGTGTTCTCCTTGTGGAAACTTTGTTGAAGCCCTTCAAGTACTTTAAATTCTGGACTCAACATCCTACCTATTGATCACATGTGCTTGGAGTACATAAATAATAGGTTAGCCTCATTATATGATTTATGGAAAATCAAGACAGGTGAAGCAAAGACTGTGAAAGCTAAATAATGAGGTTTATGTTGACATTTCTAACCAAGTTCAATTAATATATCAAAGCTAGAGAAAGTTCAAATGTAAGTACTCATCAATCTAGTTGAAGATATTATATAAGAGGAAAGTCTACTGGTTCAGCAGTGTACGAAACTCTAGAGTGCTCGTGAAAAATTCTATAAACAAAAGGCAATGAATCAATGGGTGCATGAAGGGGACATGAACACAATATTCTTTCATAAAATAGTGAAAGCGAAATGCCACAGTGAAGGCTTTTGATTCGGTTAGCTGTGAAGGCTTTTGATTCGGTTAGCTGTGAATTAAAGGTAGATATATTAACAATAATATTCTATTTGGAACCGAACTTGTCAAGGATTATTACAAAATCACCATTAGTCCTAGACAGTTAAATGGACACAGTGAAGGCTTTTGATTCGGTTAGCTGTGAATTTCTATTTGTAGTAATGCATGCAATGGGTTTCCTGATCAATTCTTAATTTTATTAAAAGCTTGTGTTAGTACACCAATGGTTAGTGTGCCTTTAAATGGAAATTTGTGTGGCTACTTTTGCAATGAAAAAAGGGCTTAAACAGGAAGACCCCTTGTCACCATACCTGTTTACAATTGGAATGAAGCTTTTTGATACCTTGATCAAGAGTGTTGTTAAGAATGAGAAAATTCCATTTCATCCACACTGCAAATCTCTTGCTATCACCAATGTCTGCTTTGCAAACGACCTTTTGGTTTGCTCCACTGGATCAATTAGTGTTATGGAAGGGATTAGTAGGCTATTAGATGAATTTTATAGGCTTTCGGGTCTTAAACGTAACGCGCTTATGAGTTAGATGATGTTTTATGGAGGGATCTCTAAGGCTAAGATGAAAGCAATATTATATTACATAGGGTTTCCACGAGGCGCCTTGATGACTTAGAAGAGTTTCAAGAAGATGATTATGCACAAAAGCTAGCATCAGGTGAAATTGAGTCAGGAAAAGGTGCCAATCATATTCGGAATGTACAACGAGCTTGTGATACTCGATGGAGTTCACATTTGAGTTCTGTGGCTAGCCTTATCCATTTGTACGGTCCAAGTTGCCGTGTTTTAGAGAACATAAGTAATGATTGTGCTCACTACAAAACAAGGGGGGATGCTAGTACAGCTTTGAGAACTATGGAATCATTCGAGTTCATCTTCATTTTGCATATGATGAAGGAGATACTAAGCACCACAGATTTGCTTTGCAAAGCTTTGCAACGTAAGTCTCAAGACATTGTAAATGCAATGAGAGCAGTGGAGACTACTACAAAGTTGTTGAACCAAATGAGGAATGAAGATTGGGATTCTTTGTTGGCAAAAGTCACAATGTTTTGTCAAAAACATGATATCAATGTTCCTGATCTTAGTGCTCCACATTACGAAAGTCGACGAAGACGAGATGGTATCACAAATGAGCACTTTTATCATTTTGATGTGTTCAATGCTGCTATTGATGTTCAGATAGAAGAAATACGAGCAAGGTTCGATGACAAAGTACTTGAACTCCTGAAGCTTAGCTCGAGTTTGGATCCTAGGGATGGTTATAAAGCTTTCAACATTGGTGCTATTTGTGATCTTGCTCAGAAGTACTACCCTCTTGATTTCTCAGAAAAGGACTTAGATGACTTGAAGTTCGAATTGAAGCATTTTCATGCTGATGCTCCTACTCATCCTGAACTCCAAAATCTATCATCACTTGCTGAGTTGTGTCATGGTTTAGCAGTGACAGGAAAGTCAACGGAATTTAACCTTGTTGATAGGTTGATTCGTCTTATTTTGACTCTTCCGGTTTCAACTGCCACAGGAGAACGCGCATTTTCAGCTATGAAGATAGTGAAGAACAGGCTGCGGAACAAGATGAATGATGATTTTCTAGCTGATAATTTAGTTATCTTTATTGAGCTAGAGATTGCAGAAACTTTCAGTTTAGACGCTATTTTGAGTGATTTCAGTGATCTTAAAGAACATCGTGCACTGTTAAAATACAATTAATAATTTATTTTACTTTTGTTTATTATCTTTTATTTCTGCCCCCCCCCCCCCTATTTTCAAATGCTGGCTCCGTCCCTGGATCTCGACCATTATGGTACCTTGGGGTACCTCTGATTACAAGAAAGCTTATTAGGAAAGATTACAAGGTACTAATTAACAAGATAATGCAAAGAGTGAGAAGTTGAAGGGTCAAGGCTTTAAGCTTTGTCGGTAAACTTCAATTGATGTCATATGTGATTACTAGTATTCTGCAATTTGTGAGTTTGTTTTTATTGGCCTATAAAAAAGTAGAGCATATTTATAACAAGATATGGAGATACAGGATCAAAACTCATTTTTGTATGGGATTTGAAGCAAGGTGCAACTAGGTGGATATGGAAATCCATTTTAAAATGTAGGGAAGACGCCAAAACCTTTATCTCGGGAAGAAGGGAAGGGATCAAGTGGGCTCAATGGTGGACCCAGAAATTACATAAAGGGTGTTCAACAATGAAACAAAATTAACAATGATTGTCAAATAATCTTGAATTCAAATACCACCATTAATAAATCAAAATCTTACAAAGGAATTTTGTTCTAAAATTGAATCAAGGTTTGTCAGTTGACAAACCTATCACCAACCTATGTCCGCCCCTGATTGGGCTGCGCTTGAGATGACAAGATTTTATGTAATGAAGGTCTAGGAATCATATCGACCTAATGAGAGTATAGTAGAGCGTTATGAACTAGTATGGAGCAATGAAGTTATAACTCGTCACAGGTTTATCTTAAGACTAGAGATAAATGGCAGGATGAAGACTCAAGACAAATTGATTGTGTTGGGGGAAGATATTTTCTGGATGATGTGTGTTGTGTCGAGGAGGAATGTTAAAACAAATATAACTGCATTCCATCATAAAACACATGGGGTTGTACTTTACGGCTGAGTGTGAAGCTCTAAAAGAAAATAAAAGAAAAAGAAAAAGAAAAAAGTATAGTATCGATCATAGTTGTATAAACTATAAAAAAATAAAATATAACGTGTTTTTTGGCTGGATCAACAAAAAAAATTCTGATTCCATTCGTACTTATTTTGTCACTAATTATTGCAAGTGGAATATGAAGTATAAATTTTTATATTTAATCAGTCACATGGGAAATCTTATGTATAGTTTTTAGGAAAATAAGTTTTAAGTGTCACTCCACAAAATTACTTTGCATTATAAACTAGTACTTGGAAAAAGAAAGATTAACTTAAAAAAAAAAGAAGAGAGGGAGAAATGCATGCCTTAAACGAGGCATTGCCATTTATTTCTCTCCATCTCATTCTCAACTCTTTCTCTCCTTTCTTTCTATCTTCTTTTCTTGCTAGATTCATTATTTTCTTTGAAGAAGTTGCCTCTGCCCTTGCTAATTTCTTCCATTGACCAAGCAAGGTGGATTCAGGAAGAGATCCCATAACTCATCATTCTAATTAATCTATCGTAGCTAGCCAATTTCTAGATCAAGCTCAATTTTCACACCAAATCATTCTGGTAAGTAATTTCGTTCATTCTCCCAAATTAAAATTGTAAATTATTTTCTTATCAAAAGAAACGGCCGGTGTAGTCTTTAATCAATCTTATTTCATCTTATTTTGTGTTGAATTTGTTCTTTAATCCTGTCTGATTCCAAATACTATTATTTCTTGAAAAAAATATTATTATTTTTATTTACGCCAACGTTATTGCCGTGTAACGCATCGAGAGATTAATCCGTTATTAGATTTCACGATATCAGATCTTTAATACGATTATTAATTATTTGTGTCATTAGGTGTTGAATGGTCTATTCCTGATAGAATGTTAGGGTTTCTGGGATGGAGAAAATAAAAATGAAGTTGATGTTGTATGAGTTGCTTTGATCCTTTCTAATTTCTATGCTATTCTTTGAAGTTGTGATTATATTCACGAAATTGAGAATTGTTATTATTATCATCATTTACAGAAGGAAATTAAAGCTCCCCATGGGAGATGAAGCGAGATAGATGAAGTGCGAGGGAACAGAAATAAAATAAATTTATGCAACATTAAAAGTTTTGATTTAATTGAATGGCCACGGGCGGGGAGAAGCCTGAGAATAGTGGTCCGGCAACGACCTCCGGTGGCAGCGCTGTGGGAGGTGACAATCTTGATCAGCATAATACACATGCTAAGAAAAGGGAGAAAACGACACCGTCCAGCTCATCGGAGTCCTCGTGGGGGGAGCCGGTGGAGAGCACGGCCAGCGCCAAAAACACGAAATCCAACCCGGCGGCGGACGATGGATCGCCGCCAACGGAGAAAGTACTCGATGACCCGGACTGCTATCGGATCCCGTCGGAGGTGTTTTCCAGGACGAAATCATCGACGCCGATGGATTGGAGCGTGGCGTCGAACGAATCCTTGTTCAGCATCCAAATGGGAAACATGAGCTTCACAAAGGACCACGCCTTCTTGTTGGGGAAATCGGACGAGTTGGGCTACGACCCAGCTATGTCCATGGGCTTAAGCCCAATGGCGAGCCCTATGCGGGACCGACCGCCCATCAGCAGCAGCCCAGCCAAGAGTAGTAGTAATAGTGGCAGCCCCAAGCCCGCTGAAACGGCGACGCCTCCGCCTCCGTCGAAAGACAAGAAACCGGACACTGGAGGGGGCGGGACGCCGTCAAGTGTGACGCAGCAGGAAATCAAACAGAATGAGAGTGGCGGTGGCGGCGGCGTGGAGCAGCAGAATCCGACCCAAGTTGCCAAGGATCCGTCTTTCCACTCGGCCAGCCTTCGCCGGAGCTCCACTGCCAGTGGGGCCAGCGTCAAATCTTTCGCCTTCCCAATGTGAGTCCCTCCAATATTCATCCTTTTGTTTCCTGCCCTCTAATAGATTTTCAATTTTTTTTTCCCGCCATAAGTATCAAACTAATTGGCCGTGTCCGTGAAATCACGTTTAGTGACTAAACTGATGTAGTTTCATTATGCTATATATTAAAATGAATTCGTATCATTATTTGATCTACTTCTATTATACCTTGAGATGTAGTTTCATTATGCTAAAAATAGGCTTTAAGCATCATATGTGAATTTGTAATGCTCAACCTTTGTCTCGTCTGATATAATAATACTACCTAACTAATTAATTACAACTATTCCATTCATTTTTACTCGTACATCTATTCATATGTGGGTCCAAAAATGGTTTATTTATTAATATAATTATTTACAATGTTGATACATGAAATTATTTGAAGTCAGAAGGTGTAACTAACAGATTTAATATACACTCAAATTACAACTTAGTCGTTTACCGAAAATCATACATTTTCTTCTTTATCCTACTGCATTTGAAGATTGAGATCACATTCAAGGACCAAAATCAGGATTATGGATAAAGTGAATACTATACACTCTAAATACATGTGGATGGATGAAGTATAAACTTTGAATGTATTATGTATATTATATCATGTACTCAGTTACATATGTCCAAAGGTTCATGCAATGTGGTTGCACAACATGGTTTTTAGGTGTTCTTAAATAGTGAGTAATTAATTAACTGCGGGCGATTGCAATATTGATATATATTGCAGATTGACGGGAGATGGACAACACCGGTCGACGCAATCGCAGTCACAACCGCCGACACCTCAAGCGGCTCAACAAGAACCCGTGACTCCGCGATCGGATAGAGACAACGTTAATAACAATAATAGTAAGTCGTCGCAGCCGTCGACGCCAAAATCAGGGGAGAATAAAGGGAATCAGGGTGGTGGTGCTGCCGGCGGTCAGGGTAGTAAATGGTTTTCTTGTTTTCCCTGTTGCCCTTCACGTACTTCATGATCGATGTTATATTAGCACACCAAAAAAGAAAATAATATAACTCAGGAACAAAGTAAACAAGAACCACAGAAAACTGTACAAGGACACAAATCACTGTATGTTCAAAATGTTGCTCCCTTCGGCAACTCGCTTACGTGGCGTGTGTTGGTGTATGCTAAATTTAGTTCTATAAGTTAATCAAATATAATATTATTATAAATATAAAAGAGGTGTTGTTAGTAGAGATTATTCGAATTTTTAGTGATTAAATTATTTTCGATAAAATTTTATAAATTAATCAAATTTTAAGTCTACAATTTTAAGTGGCATTCAATCTAATGTGTATTTAATATATTTCGATATGGACAACGCGAGTTTAACCCGGTGTTGACGAGTTTCGGGTTGTGACCGAGTTTTACCCCCTTTTGTAATTGACGAGTTAGATCAGATGTGAATTTTGTTAAAACTCGATTCGTTTTCCATTTGACCTGGCCCGCACCAAAAAAACATAACAATCAACCTAGTCAAAAGTAGGTTGAATCAACCTAATTCAACCCGGACAACACAAGTTGAATTCAATGGTGATAAGTTTTGGATCTAGAGCGAGTTTTACCTGCTTCTGTAATTGACGGGTTGTGTCATGGATGAATTTTATTAACAACTAGGTGTGCTTTTCATCTGACCAGTACCTGCAAATAAAACAATCGACCCGATCAAAGCCAGTTGAACCTAGTGTTTAGATCTGGCAATCGGGTCGGGTTGGATAATTTTGGGTGGGAGACTTCGGTTACGGGTCGGGTCATGTTTGGTTGGCTGATTTCGAGTCAAATATTGAACCAATCCATTCGATTTCGGGTCGGGTTACAGGTCATTTCGAGTTACGATCGTTCTCAGAAACAATATCAAACATGCTTCATATTTATCTTAAAGAACACAAATTTTCACATATGCATGACAATAGTTTACCTAACACATGTCAATTAACATATTCTCAAATCCTCCCACGCTAATGAAATGAAATACAAATTGCGCAAATCTTAAAAAAACAATCACAAGAGTAATACTACTACAAGAAACACATGATATTTGATTATCCTTATACTCCAAACATGTCATTCAAATCCTTGTGTTTTTTAAACATCTCACCAATTTTTGAGTGATTTTATCATATTTTGGGAGTGATATATGACATGGAACGGGTCTAACGGGTCGACCCGCTAACCCCCCCAACTCGACCCAAAAAATCACGGGTTATCTGGCTCGAGCCATTCGGATTTCGCGTTACAAAAATTTCTAGTTTTCGGGCGGTTTCGGGTCAGGTCAACGGGTCGGGTTGTAATTTGCCAGGTCTACTGGTGTTGACAAGTTTTGGTTCGAGAGCGAGTTTTACCCATTTTTTTAATTAATTGGTTGGGTCGATCGTGGATTTTGTGAAAACTCGGTCCGCTTAATCAAAATTTTAGTGGTGTTGATGATTTTTGGGTGCGAGTGACTTTTACTCCATTTTGTAATTGCGGGTTGGGTATAGTATGAATTTTGTTAAAATCTTGGTCTGCTTTCCATTCGACCATCACCTAAAAAACAAAACAATTGACCTTTTCAAAGCATGTTCAATTCGCTGTGCGAGTTTTGGGTCGGGAGTGAGTTTTTGGGCTTTTGTAATTAACGAGTTGTGTCCGTGTGGATTTTGTTAAAATTCAGGCCACTTAATGAAAATTTTAGTGTCATTTAAACTTTCATTGTGTTTACTTTTATAACAATTTAACCCAAACATATGGGTACTCAAGCTAATTCGACGCAATCAAAGCGAGTTGAACCTAGTGTTGGCGAGTTTTAGGTCAGGAGCGAGTTTTATCCACTTTTGTAATTGACAAGTTTGGTTGGGTGTGATTTTGTAAAAAAAATGTCTTGTTTAATAAAAAATATAGTGTCATTTAACCTTTAATTTTTTTATTTTTCTTTTATGACAATTGAGCCAAAACCTATGGGTATTCAACCTAATTCGATTAGGTCAAAGCGAGTTGAACCTGGTGGTGACTAGATTTGGATTGGGAGGGAGTTTTACCTTCTTTTGTAATTGACGAGTTTGGTTAGGTGTCGATTTTTTTAAAAAACTCGGCTCGCTTTCCATGACAACAACACCTAAAAAAATAACCAGTCTGATCAAAGCGGGTTGAATTTGGTATTGACAATTTTTGGTTTGGGAGTGAGTTTTACACGCTTTAGAAATTAACAAGTGAGGTCGGCTGTGGATTTTTTAAAAATTCAGTCTTCTTCCCATCTGACTTTGAGTTAAAAAAAAAAAAACAATCGACCCGATCAAAGCGGGTTGAACCTGGTGTTGACTAGTTTTGGGTCAAGAGCGAGTTGAACCCGGTGTTGAAGAGTTTTGAGTCAGTAACGAGTTTTACAGCTTGTTTTATTGAAGGGCTGGGTAAAATTTTTGTTAAGAACTAAGCCTGCTTTTTTCCTATATGACCTAAAAGCAAAACGATCGACGCGATCAAAGCGGTCTGAACCTGATTTTGACATGTTTTTGGTCAGGAACGTGTTTTACACGCTTTTGTGATTGGAGTGTTGGGTGTAGATTTTGTTAAAACTCTACCCGTTTTCCATCCAAACCACACCCAAATAACAAAACAATGAGTTGAACTTGGTGTTGTTGTGTTTTGAGTCGGGAGCGAGTATTACCACTATTGTAATTGGCGGGTTGGGAATAGGGCCGCAAATGAGCAAAGATGCACACGAACAGCTCGACGCTCGACTCGGGTGGAATATTCAAGCCTAGAAGCAGAAGAAGAAGAAGAAGATCTTGAACTCAAATTTGTAATCCCTCTCTCTCTAGAAACTCGCTCTTTTCTCTTGGGTGTTGTAGATCCTAACTAATACTTTGTAATTACTTGTATAGATGGAATGATTGTCATTGGGTATTGGTTTATTCAATGTTTGAGGCATTATTCACCATGATTGTGCATGCTTGTGCTTAGCAACTTAGGGGTTGTGCATGTTTTGTGCTTAGCATCCTAGGGATTGTGCATAATTGTGCTTAGCACCCCTAAGTTTGTGCATTTATGTGCTAGTAATCTAATTTGCCACCTTAGCCTAGTTTAGAGAGGAAAATCCCCCTGTCAAGGGAGACTCAATCGAGTTTGTTTTCCTTCCGCTTTCTAAGCCACATAAACTAGGTTGATTTAGGGCAACCCTCAATATTGAATTAAACAAGTCGATTAATCATGGTTAAACCATCCGACCTGCGAGTTGAGTGAGGAAGTAAGCCGGTTACCGATTGTCTAAACCGATAGGGTCGAGGGACACATCCTTTCATCCTCACCTCGGTTTAGCAATTGAGACTGTGGTCTCCGACCACATACGCTTTCCTCTGCGATTCACGATTAACGTGCCCAAGGCAATCGTTCCAATCCAACGAGTCTTGGTAGCTAGTTAGGTGGAAGCAACTCATGGGTGAAGCTCCCTTAGTTAGACTTTTCCTTCATTTACTTTCCCTTGCTAGTTTAGTTTGTAGTTTTCTTAGTTTTAAAACCCAAAACCGTTTTGCTAGATAACAACTTCAGCGATTGAAGTAGGGCTACATGGATCGGCCCGGGTTGACAATTTAAATACTTGCTCTATACTGCACCTGACTAGAGTTTGAAAACTTGGACTCTATTCGGGATTAATTGTGGTGAGTTTCGTGCGAGTCACCCCGCCAGCACTCATGTCTGGATACTTGTAGGTAATTTTACCAACTCTCGTCTGTTCATCCATACAAATCATGTCTCCACAAATGTCACGAAGTTCTTGTCATGTGAATCTCTTAATTTTCAACATCGTGGATTCACCATCTTCATAATCCATCCAAAATTCAGGGTTTGAGAACCCGACCATTCCATCGAATAAGAAGCTGAAACTTCTTGAGTTTATCCATATATGTAATTTATAATAAGTAACTAATAACTTAAGTAGAATAAAATTAGTATAGTATAATTAGTACTTGGGACTATAGAAACATTAATCAAAACCATATTTTTAGGGCTACAAAAATAATATTATCTAAACTCATAACCAAACGCAACTAAATAATAGAAACATGAACCATAATTAGCATTACAATAATATTAGTATAGTAAACCAATTCATCTAAATTCATAACTAACTAACATCAATCCTACCATAATTAATCTAAATATCTCTAACTAATTATATTTGCTACTAACATTAATTCATTATACATATAACTATTAAAATATCAAAATTTAAACAATACGAAATTATATCATACCAAAAAATTGGAGGTTATGTAACCGTAGTTGTTGGAAGCATGTTGAGAAGGGGATTTTTTTGCTTAAATTTTACTGAAATGGGGGGTGAGGCTACACACGAATCGGGGAAAGTATTTTTCCAACAGCTACGTGGGAGGGGTACTTATTTGACAAACAGGGTGCATTCACCGTCGTTGTCCAAAGCGGTGAAGGCAACGTGGCAATTGTTCACCGCCGTAACCTAGCATGGTGATTAATTCACTGCTTTGGACGACAACGCTGAAATGTTCCCCGCTTTCTATTAAGGTGGTGATTATTTTATTGTTGTTAACAACGGCGGGGAATCTTTCACCGTTGTTTTCTCAAGCGGGGATAAAACGGTGATAATTTCACCGATTTTCTTAGACGCGGGGAATGGCTTCACTGCGTTAGACAACAACGATGAACGTCAAACATGTGTAGATTGAGAATTTTTTTTTATAATTTAAGTATTTTTAGAATTTTTTTAGTTACATGTGTATTTTGTGATTTTTTCCCATCTAACTCTTATTTTGTTGATCTAGTAGTCATATTCTTGTAAGGGTCTTGGTGAAAGTGGAAGTGCAAGTATTGATTTTCTTTTCGATATGTGTAGGGATGCACTTGAGGAACATTCAGGTCATAAAGAAACAAACTCAAACTTCTATGTTTCTCAAGGATAGTGTTGAAACTGAAAGTCTTAATAAGATAACTCTAAGAAAGGAACTATTTTAGAGAAGTTAATCCTTATAGTTAATTTTCTTCAAGCATGTAAAAAATGGCGATGCTAACGGGATAAAAGAACAAGCAGCAACTTAATCATTCCAACTGATACCTACAGGTCACGAGCAGGTGCTCTTGCGACAACATCTGTAGGTGCTTGTAGCAGATTACTCACTACAGGGACTATAGTATCCTTCCAAGGTCCAATCCCCACTAAATAATTCTTAATGTAGTCCAGATATGCATCAGAGGT